ACACACACACACACACACACACACACACACACACACACACACACACATATATTTCCATGAATAACCATTAAAATTTACAGATAGGCAAAGTCAGAAAAATGCTGGTTGAGAATTTGAGAGTTTGATGTAAGGATATTTATGCTCTATATTTTGATGCGATGTTAATACCTTGTGCTTTACAATTGGAAAGCTTTAACTTTTTGAATCTCCGCATCCCCCGTCATTAAATAATTGTCTGGCAGGCCCTGTCCCCATAATGTTCTGCAACTGGGAAAAATGTTTTGAAATAAACATCCATTTAAAATAAATTTTTACAGATAATAAATAAAATGGAATTCTGCGATGCCTGATTTGTGATTAATGTGGGTTCATGATAGTGGTTTACGTGTTCCTGGGTTCCAAGGCCAGAAGGCACCATTGAAATCAGTTAGTCCAGTGGTTCTCAACCTGGGTTCGGGCCCCTGGGGGGCCACGAGCAGGTTTCAGGGGATCCGCCAAGCAGGGCCAGTGTTGGACCCGCTGCGGCCCAGGGCAGAAAGCTGAAGCCCTGCTGTGTGGGGCTGAAGCCCGGGGCCCCGAGCCCTGCCACCTGGGACTGAAGTCGAAGCCTGAGCAACTTAGCCCCAGGCAGTTGCCCTGCTTGCTACCCCCTAATGCCGATCCTGGCTTTTATATGCGGAAAACTAGTTGTTGTGGCACAGCGTTTTTATAGCATGTGTGTTGGGGGGGAGGGGGCTCAAAGAAAAAGGTTGAGAACCCCTGAGTTAGTCTGGCCTCCTGTATAACACAGGCCAGAGACCTGCCCCACAATCGTTCCCAGAGCAGATCTTCTAGAAAAACATCCCATCTTGATTTACAACTTGCCGGTCATGGAGAATCCACCATCACCGTGGGTAAATTGTTCCAGCGGTTAATTACTCTCTTCTTGGAGGGGCCAGGTTAACCTTTTCCAAATGAGTAACTCTACAGGGCTCTTCTGTTTGTTGCAGTGTTTGCTATTTGTGATTCCTGCCCAGGGTATTGTGGTCTTTACCAAGTACTTGAGATCTATTTGGTCTAGTAAGAAAGTGAATGTCAGGCTTTGAACATGATGGCTACTGCTACTGCACGGGAGCTGGCTCTGCAGAGCTTGCCGGCGGCTTCTTGGGGCCTCCTTTCCCTTTTCCAATTACATCTGGTCCAACAGAGATGGGGCCCACAGCTGCAGTTAAACTCTTGAATCCCAGGCAGGGCAGAGGAGACTCATTCTCGCCTCTGTCCAGGACACTGCTCTCCCTGCAGTACCCATAGCTTTAGAGCAGACCCTTGGCAAGCTGGGAGCAAGCTGTGTTGGTGGCAATATGGACATTTTAAAGGGCGTGTGCAGTAAAATGCACAGATCAGAATACTTCCCCCGCAAACCGTCTTCGTACTCAGGCAGGAGAGGCTTTCGGTGTGAGATGAGACTTTTCATTTCCAAAAACTCTTCCCCAATGTGCCCTTTCTTTTCACTGCGGTAGAGCTGACTGTTGTTGTCCATGTGCTACCGGAAGAGTCGAATTTAAAGACGGTCAGTTCTTTTAAATTAGGAAGAGCTGTGGCACACTGCGTGCTCACACTGCGAACGCTCAGGTGGCCCGGGGGTGCCCTTTGCAAGAAGCCTGGCCAGCGGTTCCTGTAAGACATGCGCTGTAATTGACAGTACTGGTTGCCCTAGTCAGACTTCTCTGGAGAGGTTTTTCCCCTCTAAAATGAATTTCTCAGAAGGACTTCAGGGGAGACTTTGACAGGTAGAAATGGGTGTCACGTGTCCAACTCTCATTGGCTTTCCAGGGGAACAAGGTGCCAAATTCCCATTTGAGCCTTAAAAGCTCTCCCTTTGAACGACTGCTGCATGGGGTTGATCTGCTCTATCCTCCTAGGAAGGAAATAGTGTAGCCATCCTGGTCTATCCCAGATTTCATCTCTGGAGTATAATGGCGGCCCTGATGGAAAACGGCAGACATCAGTTTGGTCTGGGAATGTTCTGCAGTGTTATAGGCAGGGATGGGCTTTGTTTATTTGAGTACTTCAGTTGACGTTTCCTAGGTTAAAGAAATACTATCGTAATGCTGCTGCTTAGTAGTAATGCATGTAACCTGTAGACTGTGTCTTGGCAGTGTGGCCCAATGAATAGAAACTGGACTGGGTTCTGGCCCTGGCTCCGCTGCTGTTGGGGGACCTGGGACAAGACACTGTCCTTCCCTGTGCCTCCATTTCCCCAGCTGTAAAATGGAGTTAATGATACGTGACCTCCTTTGTAGAGTGCTTGGAGAGCTCCTGATGGAAAGTGCTGTGTGAAAGCGAGGTGTTATAACATTAGGGGTGGTAAAGAGTCCTGTGGCACCTTATAGACTAACAGAAGTGTTGGAGCATGAGCTTTCATGGGTGGATACCCACTTCGTCGGATGCATGTAGTGGAAATTTCCAGAGGTGTTAACTCCTGGATTATACCCTGCTGAAACTGGACTAGCCCAGTAGAGACCCAGGCCCATTATTTATATCAGCATTACTATTGTTCTGTGTAGTGTTGGTATGTTTATTTTTATTTTTTTTAGTAGTGATCCGACAAATAAAACAGACACATTGGCATCCATCCGACATAGCCGCCTAAATGCCTCTCTTTGCATCTTTCTGTGATCATGAAGACCTCTCTCTGTTTCTGTGACTGCGTATGGGTGCTGCCATGTATCAAAATGACATTGGGAGTAATGGTGAACTCTGATACAACCAGACCCATTTGAAGTGCTGCTCATCAAAGTGCTGCATAGTTCCTGTGATCTAGTCGGCACTTATCTCCCCTCCAGTATTTTTATCATCAACTGGGCAGTAGGAGAAATCATTCATGCTGTGGGCTATCTTTACTTCATGCAAAATATTGATGACAGAGACCTGGGTCTGTTTCATGTCAGTTACCTAATAGAGAGATAAATTTGGAAGCCTTTAAACAGCTTGCTGTCTGCAGCAACGTTTTCGCCGGTGTTTAATGCTATACAGTTGTTCAATATATAGGTATCGTCAGTGGTCAGCCTAACACAATTATTTTCTCTCTTTGCTACAGAATTTCAAAGGCAAGAAAGCGTGAAGTCCCAGCAGAAAGGCATTCAGCTCTATGACACGCCCTATGAACCAGAAGGCAATGGTGTGGAGTCCGACACTGACAGCTTGGTGGGCCAGCGCTTGCGAGAGAGCAAGCTGCCACAGGATGACGACAGGCCCGCAGATGAATACGATCAGCCCTGGGAGTGGAACAAAGTCACAATCCCAGCCTTGGCAGGTAGGAATCCTGGATCTGGTCCACACCATTGTGTCTCCTGCATGTGTAGCACTCATGCCCAGAGTGAGGAGGGCTCAGTGCCCTGAATTTTGTCCATTTTTAAGGGCTTTTTAAAGAAAAGGTTAAGTCATTTTGAGATTTTTTTCCTTCCGTCAGTATAAGAAACAATAGACACTTGTCAGCATTCCAGCGTAGATCTGGCAAAGAAACTCCACGATGGGTCCAGTCTCTGGTATACGAATCGTCTCAGATGCTCGAGGTGAATAACCCATTGCACTTACTGCAGCACTGTGGAGCTGCTGAGAAGTATTGTTCCTTAAGATGCACCTCAGATGGCTCCATAAAGCTAGCGACTTAGATGTGCATGGCAAGCGGAAAAGCTCACGCCTTCTCTAATACGTTGTGTTAAAACAACTTTTCAGTAGTTGTTACAGTGAATAAATGTGTTCATTTGAGTCAAGCCGGTTGATGTGCACATGAGTAACTTGCATAGCTTGGTCTTAAATTCACCTCCTTGCACTATTACATTAGCCCACCTCAAAACTCACCATTCGCGAAAACGTTGTATCCAGACAGTCACTTCTGTACGTCCATCTCCAGTGCTCCAGGCTTGATGTCCACCTAGAGCCAGTGGCGATATTCTGCTTCAGACAGGCAAACTGCCTCCGTCTCACTGCTCGCAGGGTGTGGGGTGGGCCGGAATGATAGTTTTAATCCACTATTCTGAGGTCTCTTGAGCCTCCACATCCAAAAGGAAAGGTGGTGGAGTGTCTGAGTCAGGGAGCAATTAACGTTTGAAGATCTGACTCATTTAAGGAAGCTCTGACTGTTCTGGAGTAAGGTGAGTTTCCAGCACCTGTTTGAATACCGTAATACCGGCGATAGCGTTGCTAATTCTCTAGAATAATATATAGCCACAGAAATCCTATGTTTTCTGTTGAGATTAAATGGACACAGTGGAGCTGGACTAGGAATTGGGGGGCTGACAAGTTAGTGATTTTTTTTCATGGCTGTACGTACTGTGGTGGGTGACTCGGTTACTTAGTCATTCATGTATTTTCTTCATGCAGGCAGGGTCCAGTCTTTGAATAAATGCTGTGTGTTTTGTGATGCTGTTTCTTTTGGGGAGAACTGTTGCAAACATGAAGAATTTCTGCTCTTTGCTTTAATCCCGCTAATTAGTGCCCATTCCTGAGGCAGAGCGGCTCCCTGAGGACTTGCCATTGGCGCTGGGGCTGAGATTTCTGAGAAGGGGGCTTGCCTGCTCGCTGTTTGTGACCACCTCTCTTTGAGAAGTGGGATGAAAAAAAACCCTCTTCCCCATCAGTGACTTTTCCTCCAATGGGAAACGCCCCCGCAAAGCACCAATCTCTGCTCAGCAGAACAGCAACAATATTCTAGCTTAGGGTAGGAGTTGAAATATGCAGTGAGAAAACGATTGTTCTGCTATTTGACCAAGCTGACAGCAGAATATGGAGCGGGAGGAGATGATATTGAGCTAAATTTGTTAATACACCTCTACCCCGATATAACACGACCCGATATGACATGAATTCGGATATAACACGGTAAAGCAGCGCTCCGGGGGGGCGGGGCTGTGCGCTCTGGCGGATCAAAGCAAGTTCGATATAATGCGGTTTCACCTATAACGCGGTAAGATTTTTTGGCTCCCAAGGACAGCGTTATATCTGGGTAGAGGTGTAGTTGCTTTAATGTATGAAAAGAGAGAACCACTTCTCGCACATCTTATACATAAACAAATACGATTTTTAAAGCAAAGGAGGCGCGAGGAGCATTTGTTCCCTCTTTGTGTGACTGTGTACAATTCGCCATTTTAGTCACGTGATCCTTGCATCAGCCATTTGGAAAGACTGGTTAGCAGATCAAACCCTAGTACGCGCACATGCGTCTCCATCCTCTCATCCTTTCTAGAGGTGAAATTTCTCACTTAGCCCCATGGTCGGGACCTGTCCCAAAGGTTTTCTAAAATGGAACCGAAAATGCACCAAGAGACTTGGTGCTTTGCCCTATGGAGCATTTGAAATATTGGCATCTGGCGTATCTGTTTATCTGTGGAGGTGTCCCCCACAGCCAGGGTCTTTGAATCCTTCCATAGGATTCAGTGCATCACCACTGTGTAGCTTCTGCTCAGCCCTCGGGGTTGGGGGAGAGCTCCTGATGACTCTCTTCTTTTCAGGCCATCACGAAGTAGGCAGTGAATGAAGGAGATGGGCAGTGCGCTCACTGAGCTAACACAGGAGCTGCTTATCTTCACCGGCAAAGGACTGTCACCTCGTTATTTCCCAGCCCAATATTGTCCAACCTGTCAAAGGTACTGTTGGCCCCCACTGGGGTTTTAAACCAGGACAAGCCTGAAGTTCAAAGAAGGGTTTTTGGATGGCCACTTGGAGTCCCCTTTATACGTGCCTGGAAAGAGCCTGTCGGGGGCCCTACAGACTGCCCGGCAGGTCAGTTTTTGTAAGTGTAGTTATGTGAGTTATGTACTCACAGGTCAGATTGCGCTAGGCACGGCAGTGGCAGGAGTGTAGGAGTGACAGCAGCTCTGCCAAACCAGAGACCACGATTGACTAGCGTACGCTGTGTGTCAGCTCTTTAAAGTGTAGTTTTTATCTGTATCGTGTATGATAGTCACGCTGGGATTGCGCTTCGGCTCTGCGCGCTCTCTTCCTAGAGCAGGTCTAGGAGCTGAAAAATGTAAACGTTAGTGTGGCAATGATGACTTGCTCTCTGGCTCCGTTAACACTTAAACGGACAAGTAAGTTTGCATTCAGCTTCCCTCTTGTGTGAAACTGTTGCACACGTGTGAATGCAAACTCACATGCTCAAGCCTTGGTGTTACCAGGGTGCAAGCGTCTCCATTTTTATTTCATGTTTGAATAACGCACCAGTGACCAAGGAAAACTTGATTCAGCTTCCCAAAACAAAATCCCCTCTGAGCTGGGAACAGTCCTGAGAGAGGGAAGACCAGAGTTCTACTTTGGGAAAGCTTTCGAAGGACCTAACAATGGGAGTTCATCAAGAAAGTTCCTTGTTAATCAGATGCATTGCTAGAGTAACACTGTACTAAGGCTCCAAAATAAACCTGGTCTTTGTAAGGGAATCTTGGCTTTATACGAACTGCTTAGTAAGACTACATCGATGTAGCTTTCCAAATTAAGGGCAATATTCTGCCAGCGCTCCGGGGGTTAATGCTTCTGACCAGTTGTAGCTCCATTAGCTTCAGTTGCGCAGTACGTGGCAATAGGTGCTTTCAGGATCTAAACCTATAATTGGCATTCCCTGCAATCTGTGCTATTTCTATCGTGTTGTGAGGCTGCTCAGCGGTACGCTTGGTATGCTGACTCGCTCCTTTTCTTTTGGCATGTTGTTCGTTTGGCGGCTGGGCAGGAGGGTGTTTGGGTTTGTGAATAGTCTCTCCGGTAACCTTGACCATCAGTGTAATTCCCTGGCTGGCTAGGCGAGTGCAGTCACTTGTTTAAATTCCCAGGATGCCATAAAAGATTAGGAGCATTTGGCTTTTGGTGAGTATCAGCAACAGAGAGCAGATCCGAAGGGTCTGATTTCACAGAGCTGCCGCCTGCGCTGCTTGTGAAGTGAAATGACACCGCATCTCAATAGGAACAGAAGGATGTTGTGGGTTTAATCAGCCTTACGGGCCACCTTGGCTGCAGTCAGCAGGGGTCTTGCATGTCCGCCATTTCCACGTCCGTTCCTACCAGACTGTAAAACTCGCACTCCAGTTGAGGTAATGAACGGCACGGTCTGTCCAGACTTGCATCACCAGGTGGGTTCTGCAATGTGCTTGCTATTCACGTTGCAGAGCCAGCCAGGGCGTGGAATGCAGTTCGACCCGAGAGAGCCATCCTCTGCTCTACAGGAGGAGAAAGACCATTCAGCTGGGCACGAGTAAGGACTAGATTAATTTTAAAGAAGCAGCTGATAATCTCCCACATCACCTCCACCAAGTGTCTCAATCTTGGGGAAGTTTTTCTGTGGCTTAATAGACATTCAGCATCCAGGGGCTGTTACTTCAGTACCGTACCTTTCCCTAAAAAGATCATTACTGCCCCCTCTTCCGTGTGTAACAGGATGGTGGAAGGGTATGTCAGACGTCGTGGAGAAGCACATGGAATGAGCTGTCGTGCGCCATAGCATAGTGCCGTTTGGCTGTCTGGGATTGTCCGTGCCAGGTTAGGTGAGCAGACACCACCCTTCTGCCTCTTTGCCGCCTTTCTGTGTTTTGTTGTTTTTTCTATGATATGTTTTTTTCAAGCCTAATGACTGGCTGTAATGTACACCCTCAGTTGTAGCGTACACCCTCGGAAATGTGTGTGCATCTGTCTGTCTCGATCACACCCACACAAACACAAAGATGGCTTTAAAAAAACAAGCCGCTCCTACAATGCGTTAGTTAGAATCATAGAATATCAGGGTTGGAAGGGACCTCAGGAGATCATCTAGTCCAACCCCCTGCTCAAAGCAGGACCAATGCCCAGCAAGACTTTTACTCCAGATCCCTAATGGGCCCCCTCAAGGATTGAACTCACAACCCTGGGTTTAGCAGGCCAATGCTCAAACCACTGAGCTATCCCTCCCCTCTGTTCTTCTGTCGCATGGAGTGGGGAGGAGAGGAACTACTGTTTCCCCCTTGTTAGCATGGCTGTTGGAGAGCAAGCCGGGTTGTGTTCTGGTGCGTATGCTAGTAATAGAACTGTCAGAACAATTCGGAGGGCAGGCTCTATCCCAAGGGTGAGATAAGAGGCATAAACCGCTCCTGATTTTTACAGGCCAGATTGTGTGGCGGGGGTGGGGTTGGGAATTTTGTAACTTGTCAATAGACTAATTTAGATCAGAGTCATTTAGAGCAAATAAATAAGTAGCCAGTGAGTTGCTTGGCTGTTTGTAGTGGCTTCTTCATTGTTCCGCTTTAAGGAATGTCCTGGACTAGGGCAAGCTTTTTATTAAGGGCCTGATCCAAA